TATCGGGTCATCTTTCGGTTCATCACTGACGCACCGGGGTGAAAAACTTGGGCCGTCACAGTAGAAGTAGTTTATGCGTTGGTAGAGTAGGAAAAACACCAGCGGTGCCGCTAGCAAGGAGATAGGCTTGTGGAGACATGCACGTGATGGTTGTATTCTATTGTTGTAATATCTCTACGGAATTCATAGTGGAATCTCTTCTCATCTGCGGATGTAAGCCGGTTTGTGTTGAACTACATTGTAATTGCTTTGCTGGCTTTCATTGGATCTTTATGTTCGCCCGTTTTCACTATCCTAACACCTTTCTTTATGGTGGGGCTTTTGACGCGAGAGGAATATTAGATCCTATTGGGTATTATTACATCATTCTTGGTTTTATATTCTTTTGGATTAATGGGCGAAATTATAAATTTGTGGGAGATTTTGTTTATTTTGTTGATAGCTTGAAATTATACCTTTCTGTATTCTCTTAGGAAAGCTCTCCTCTTGGGCGCCTTTAATGAATTATTACTATTAAATATTTATATGTATACATTTATATATTTATGGTAGAGTTTATTATTAGGATGCATTAGTCTATTAGAATTAAAGGTGACACCAATTAAGGATAACTAGATAACTGAAAGTGATCTAAATTGCTTGCTAAATGTGCAATATAGATAATGAATTCATCAAGGAGTGTCATGGATTGAGTTGGATGTACTGTAAGGACAACAAAAATGCCCCCAAAAAAACAAAATTTACAGGTTGTGTTGTTCTATCATATTTGATGGTATATTATACAGGGGAAATTATAGCCCTTGATGAATGATAGCGGCTAAAAGTATTTTTGTAGTTGATCCTAAGTTTTATGGCTTTAAAACTTCTATCAAAAGAAATAGTCGTGCTGAAACCTCCTTTTAGCTGTCAATTTCTGCCTCCATAATTTAAATATCACATTGTGTTTGTCATGCAATGAACTAATTTTAGGTCTTGCAGAACTAAACACCATCCCTTTAACATAGAATAAAAGAAAAGAAGAATTCTTACAGACCTAGGTTAGCAAATTTCATAAAATAAAACTCGTGCTATGTAATTTAGACTATGTTCAGTTCTTATGAGTTGTCTAGAGTAATGGTTAGGTGATTAGTGAGTCTTTGGGTGAAGCTTAGGTTTCCTCAATGGACATATCGTCAACTTCATCAAACAAGGGTATAAAGGTAAATGTACTCCAATAATTATCTTCACCATATTAAGCTCATGCATACATGTTTATATAATCAAGTTTCAAAGTTTTATAAAAAAATTTAAGTATCGATAAATATTTTTCTAAATATGCATGTTCAATTCTAAAATCAGTTTTACAGCTTATTTAACTGATATGCACTCATTGATCGAGGATACTTAGAATTGAACTGTCGATCTTAGTGTTTTAATGCATCGACTGATGGAGCCTTAGAGTATATCGATCAAGAAGTCCCCTAAATCTTCGATCAATCGACCCTCACACAGGTATCGATGGACAAATGCAAAAGCTGAAATTTTCCAAATTGTGCTTTCAAGTAATTTTTTTTTCTTTCTTAGTTGGTACTCACACACACATGCCTCCACTGGGGCTTGAACCTCTAACCTCGTTTTAGGAAGTAAGGGCCAAATACCACTAGGCCATTAACCTATTCATTTCAAAGTAATATTCTTATTGATCATTTTGGGATGTTTTCCTAGGGTTGTCTATAAATATAGATATTCTGTGAACTCTAAAAAGTGTGTGAATAAAGAGAGATGGACACATATACACACAAAGATTAGTATATGCATTGGAAGCTTTAGTTTATGAAATCACACCTTTCATAAAACTTTTATTTGTTCATTTCTTTGACCGCAAGATTAGATTTTTTTAAAGTTTCATATACTTGTTCACATAAGAGTATTTCTTTGTGAATTGGAAAAAGAAGAGTGTAGATTTTGTTTCATTTTTTCATACATTAGGCATATCTAAGTTATGGTGAAATGATAAACTATTGAGTATTGATACTACTGCTGTTGAAGCCAGATTCTCAAACCTAAAGGTTGGACGACTAGGGCTGAAGATTCATCAGATGAGAGGCTGTGTATGAGCGTAGTGAATGCTGTAGACAAATAAAGAGAGACCGAAAGATCTTTGAAGGACTAAAGATCAACTAGTGTTTAATTTCTTACTGGGTCTAGGTTGTATCTCTCTTTCTTCATAGTGAATTAATTTGTCAGACTAGGTCCTGTGGTTTGTTGACTAGTCGTTGAGGGAGTTTTTTCACATAAAAATCTGGTGTGCATCTCATACTTTATTTTACTGCACTTTAAATTGTTATATATTGGAAAAATAATTGTAGGAGCGATTTAAGCGTTGACATAATGTAAAAGCTGCTATACTTGGGTAACAAGTTGTTGCCATATTTGTATTTGAGTTTCTGTGTAATTCCTTTATTATAAAATACTTGTAGAGCAAGAAATTTCTAATCTCTAGCTACAAGTTTTTCCCAATTCACTTATAAATAGAGGTGGTTATTGTAAAAAAAACTATGAGAGTATAATAAAGATAAGTAGCCTTCTGGGCTTTGTGTGTCGTGAATGTAAGCCCTAGTGGCTGAACCACGTTGTATTCTTATGTTCTTCATGTTTTAGTTACTTACTTTAACTTTTATATCTTTTAACATGGTATCAGGTTTAGCATACCCTACTTTATACTCTACTCATCTCGTATCTTTGCAACTCGCCTCGCACACTCGACAACTTCGTATTTAATTTCAAGTTGGACACTCGAGTTAAATCTCCGCGTACAACTTGAGGAGGGTGTTGAAGATAGGGGCGGAGCCAATTAAGGACCAAAGGGGGCACGTGCCCCCCCTGCCCTTGCTCCAACCTACTATGCATAGGTACATATTTTTGCTATATACATATACTCATATGGTAATTTTAAGTAGTGCCCCCTCTAAAATTTTTAAATTCCTCTAATTTCCTTTTGAAAAAAAAAAGTACATCATATATTTTTCCTTTTCTAATTTTTGTTTCCTTTTTCAAAAAAAAATCTTTTTTTACTTGTGTATAATTATGTATTGTACCATTTTTTTCCTCTTCTTTCTTTTTATTAATGATATTTGTGATTGTATTTAATTAAAATATTATTAATCAATAATTTGATCCTTATATTTGTCAAGTATTTTTTACTATACTTGACAAATATAAGGATCAAATTATATGGAACGTCCGTGGTTTAAATGACCCGGATAAAAGAAAGGTGGTTAAGGTTGCTTTGAGGCAGTGGAACGCTCATGTTATATGCTTGCAACAAACTAAGATGGCTGCTATGTCTGACGAGGTGGTAAGGAGTATTTGGGGAGGAAGGTTTGTTGAATAGGAAGCTTTAAATGCTTCTGGCACATCAGGAGGAATTCTTATTTTGTGGGATCGAAGATGGTTGTCCATAACGAATATCTAGAAAAGGCACTATTCTTTGTCATGTGTGTTTCAGATGGAGGATGATAATTTAAAATGGTCTTTTCTGGAGTTTATGGACCTGTTATTGATTGTGATAGACCAGTCTTTTGGGAAGAGCTCAGCTTTGTCAAGGAATTATGGTCATTGCCTTGGTGTTTAGGCAGAATTTTTAATTCTGTTAGGCCTCCGTTTAAGAGATCTATTAGGGGTAGGTGGTCTTTGGAGATGACCCAGTTTTCTGATTTCATCGATGGCCATTTCCTTATTGATTTGCCATTGGAAGGGGCTACTTTTACTTGGTCCAATGGTATCACTTTCTCAGGGTTGGATCGGTTCCTGATTTATGGGGATTGGGAAGAAAAGTTCCCGAATGTTACTCAGGCAGCTTTGGTTAAGGCAACATCCAATCATACACCCTTAGTTCTTGATTGTGGAGAGATGAGATCCAGACTTGTGCCTTTCCGCTTTGAAAATATGTGGTTAAGATATGAGGATTTTCAAAGGAAAGTTCAGTCTTGGTAGGGGGAAGCATTTTTTATAGGTTTCCCTAGTTGTGTCTTAGCTAGGAGGTGTTCAAGAATCTGGAATGGAAGAAGAATAGAGTTTTGGCTGATATTGCTGAACTTGACCATCTTGACGAGCTGGGGCAAGACATGGAGTCCTTATGCTCTAGAAGAGCGTCTTGTCAAGAGATTTTTGCGAAGATTGCTGTTATGGAGGAGATTTCGTGGCATCAGAAATCTCGGGCACTGTGTCTTAAAGAAGGTGACCGTAATACAAAATTCTTTCATAGACTTACTAACGCCCATAAAAGATGTAATCACATCGAGCGTATTTGTGTGAATGGTATAAAGTTGTGGAGAGAAGATGAGGTGCATGGGGGAATTGTTTCTTTTTATAAGCAGCTTTATACCAAGTCTTTAGAATGGAAACCTAAACTTGATGGGTTGCATTTTAATTCAATTTCTTCGCTAGATAGTGACGGGCTTGAGGTTCTTTTTACTAAAGAGGAAGTTTTTAAGGCGTTATCTAGTTGTAACGGGGATAAAGCTCCTCGCTAGATGGTTTTACTATGCAATTTCTTAAGGAGAGCTGGGAGGTGGTGCGCAGTGAGGTGATGAACACCTTTCAAGTTTTTCATTCTCATGGCACTTTTGAAAAATCTTTGAACGCTTCTTTAATTGCCCTTATTCCTAAGAAGGGTAACGCCTCTGATATTAAGGATTTTAGACCAATCAGTTTAGTGGGTTGCATGTATAAGCTTATCGTCAAAGTTCTCGTTCAAAGAATGCGGAGTGCATTGGACCGAATTATTTCAGAATCACAAAATACTTTTGTTGGGGGACGGCAGATCTTAGATTCTGTCCTTATTGTAGGGGAATGTGTTGACTCTAGGTTGAAGAGTGGTGTTCCTGGTATCTTATGCAAACTTGATATTAAGAAAACCTATGATCACGTGAATTGGAATTTTCTTCTTTACCTGCTTCGGAGGATGGGGTTCGGAGATAGGAGGATTAAATGGATAGAAACTTTGTATCTCGTCGGTTATGTTCTCGGTGTTTGTGAACGGATCTCCCACTGGTTTTTTTGCGAGTTCGCGTGGTTTGAGACAAGGAGACCCCCTATCGTCCTTCTTATTTCTTATTGTCATTGAGAGGTTGAGTAGATTAATGAAAAGAGCTGAGGATCTGGGTTTTATCAGGGGTTTCAGAGTTGGTAGAGAAGCTGCCAATCAGATAGAGATTTCCCATTTGTTATTCGCGGACGATACCTTGGTTTTTTGTGATACTAACGTCTCTCAATTGAGATACTTAGGGTGCATTCTTACTTGTTTCCAAGCGGTGTCCGGTCTTCAGATCAATGTGGGAAAGAGAGTGATTATTCTAGTGGGGGATGTTCTAGATATCTCTTCTTTAGCTGCTGTTCTTGGATGTGGAGTGGGCGCTTTTCCACTTCCTTATTTGGGACTGCCTTTGGGGGTTTCCTCTAGGATAATGGGGAATTGGGATCCGGTGATCAATAGGTATGAAAAGAGATTGACAGGATGGAAAAAATAGTATCTCTCGAAAGGGGGGAAGGTCACTCTTATTAAGAGTACCCTCTCGTCCCTTCCCACTTATTTTTTATCTCTGTTTCAGATTCCATGCTCTGTCGTTAAACGGATTGAAAAAATTCAGCGTCACTTTCTTTGCGGTGGAAGAAGAGAGGAATTCAAATATCATGTTAATTGGGACCAAGTTTGCAAACCGTAGAAATTTAGTGGATTAGGCATTCGGAAGTTGGTCCCTTTCAACAGAGCTTTATTGGGTAAGTGGCTATGGAGATTTGGTAAAGAGCGTCATCGTCAGTGGAGAAGAGTTGTCTCGTGTCGATTTGGGGAGGAGAGTGGGGGTTGGTCCTCTCGTCCTATTTTTGTCATGGGAGACGTTGGAGTGTGGAAATTCATTCGGAAGATGTGTTTTCCACCCACATCAGATTCAAAGTTCGCAATGGTAGGCACGTTCGCTTTTGGAAAGATTTGGGGTATGGTGATCAGCTGCTGTCTCTTTCTTTTCCTCGCCTCTTCAGTATTGCCGAAAACAAGCATTCTTACATAGTTAATTGTTATCATCTTGAAAACAGTGGGGTTACGTGGGATGCGCGTTTTAGGCGCTATTTTCATGGCTAGGAGTTGACAGAAGTTTGTGCTTTTTTGGCCTTGTTGTATAGACAGAAGGATGTTGGCAGAGGTTGTGATGATATTTTGTGGGTGCCTTCTCCTCATGGTAAATATAGAGTACGATCCATGTTCATGTGTTTGTCCAACTTTAATGGCTATGAATTCCCTTGGAAGTCTATTTGGCGCTCTAAAGCTCCTTTTAGAGTTGCATTTTTTGTTTGGACTGTGCCACCTAGGGAAAGATTTTTACATTGGATAATTTTAGAAAGAAGGGTAATACCATTGTGAATTGGTGTTGTTTATGCAAAATAAATGGAGAGTCCGTGGATCACATTCTCATGCATTGTCCTGTCACGTTTGATTGTTGGAATTTAATTTTCAGCATTTTCGGTGTTTAGTGGGTGATGCCTGAACACGCTTTTCAATTAATCAACGCATAGAGAAAATGTCCAGTTAAAGGTCATTCACGTGCTTATTGGAGGATTGTCCCACATTGTATTTGGTGGTGTATCTAGCGAGAGAGAAACAACAGAACTTTTGAAGGGAATGAATCAACTATTGCTAACTTAAAATCTTATATTCTCCGTTCCCTTTTCTGTTATTTTAGAGGAAGCGCTTGCTCCTCGATTGCTGATCTTTTTGACCTTTTGGATTCTATTGGTCCTTAGGGTTTTTGTTTTCCTGTATTAGGGACGTGTTCTTGAACATTTTTCTAATATATTTTACTTATCAAAACAAAGTATTTGTCAAGTATTTTTTTACAATACTTATTTAGCATGTTATTTTACAGCTATTTTTTTTTTTTTTTTCTTTTGCCTTTTGATTTAAAAAAATTTTTCATTTGTCGTACTTGTTGATTTTTTTTTTTTCTTTCAATAAGTGCATTGTGCTCCCCCTGAAATAAAATCCTTGCTCCGCTCCTAGTTGGAGAATAATTATAAGAGTGATTTAAGCGTTGACAGAATGTTAGTTTCTATACTTGGGTAACAAGTTGTCGTCATATTTGTATTTGACTTTCTGTGTAATTCCTTTATTATAAACTACTTGTAGAGCAAGAAATTTATATTCTCTAGCTACAAGTCTTCCCCATTTCACCTATAAATAGAGGTGGTTATTGTAAACAAAATTAAGAGAGTATAATAAAGATATTTAGCCCATTGGGCTTTGTGTGTCAGGGATGTAAGCCCTAGTAGCTGAACCACGTTATATTCTTGTGTTCTTCATGTTTTAGTTATTCTCTTCAACTTTTATATCTTTCAACACTGTAAGATAATTATGTTTTTACCAAGTATGATTGATAAATGGATGATAATTTACATGATTAGTTAATCTCAGTCAAGTTTGTCTGTTTGAAGCAATTACCAGTATAGTTTAACTGAATCATTAGTTAGTCTTAAGGGTATATCTACTCATTGTTAATTGATATCAAGGCAAAGTACCCCAATTGAATCATTAATGTATCAGAGCTTAAATAGTTTTTTAATTGAAAATTAAATTGGTGAAAATTGGTAAAGGTTCCTTTAAGATATATTCAGGTTTATTTGGGTAACCGTGGTTAGAATGATCGAGCTAGTGGTGGCGGTAGTGGTAACAGTGGTGGAAGGCAGGGATTTTGGCAGTAGCGGTGGTGGTTGAAGTTGGCTGTGGCAGTGGTGGTGGTGGAAGATGGCGGCAGCGGTGGTAGTAGAGGAAGGCGGTGGTTGAAGGCGGCGGCAGTGGTGACCATGGCGGTTGTATTCGGAAGTTCGAGCAATGTATTTATTTATTTTTTAAAAATTTTTTTACTAGGGAATGGAATGGTCATTAAGGAGTGGTAATGGTCATTCCAACTTAAATTTTTCATTCCAAGTAAAAGAAAAGGTCAAAAATGATGGAATGGTTCCCGCGTACCAAACGTAACAAGAAGAATGAGTAGATATATATACCCTTAATACTAACTGATAATTCAGTTTAACTATCCTGGTAATTGCTTCAAACAAATAAACAAACTTGATTGAGATTAACTAACATGTAAATCATCATCCATTTATTAAATCATGCTTGGTAGAAATAAACCTAATTATCTTATAGCAATTTAAAGTGAAGTAAAATAAAGTACGAGATGCACACCGGATTTTTTTTTTTTTTTTTTTGATAAACTCCCTCCACGACTAGTCAAAAAACCTCGGGACCTAGTCTGACAAATTAATTCACTGTGAAGAAAGAGTGATACAACCTAAACACAGTAAGATATCAAACACTAGTTGATCTTCAGTCCTTTGAAGATCTTTATATCTCTTTTTATCTGTCTACAGTATTCAGTACACTCAAACACAGCCTCTCCACTGATGAATCTTCAGCCCTAGTCGTCCTACCTTTAGGTTTGAGAATCTGGCTACAACAACAGTAGTATCAATACTCAACTATTCATCATTTCATCATAACTAGGTATGCGTGATGTATGATTAAAAGAAACAAATCTACACTTTAAAAAAAAATAATAATAATTTAAATGTTGTTCTAAATTGATTAAAAAAAACTTAGAAATTTTAGACGGTTGATTCTTCACCTGTAAAACATAAGTGTAAGTTCTTAAATTTCTTTGTCAAAATGTGAAAATGGTTGAAGAATTTGTTACGACTTTGAATATAGTCTTGTGATAGAAATATAAACTGAACACTATCATTTATGACTGATACGATAACTGAAGGGTGTGTGTTGATGGCTAGTTAATGGAAGCAGCAGCACTAAGTGCTACATGTTGATGGCTGGTTGATAGTTTCTGTTTAGGTGGTAACAGAAGAGTCAATATCAGGTTTTCAATAAGGTGTTTTGATAGGTTTTGATGACGACCAGTAAGGATGGGTTAAGGCTGAAAGTAACAGAAGTTTTGTTGGGTTTGGAAACTGATGGTTGTGAGGTTTGGTAACTAATGGTGGGAAGGAAGGAAGAGGTGTGGTGAGAAAATAGAAAGGAAGGAACAAAATTCCTTTGTTCGGTAGAGATGATTCAAGGAAAGAAAGGAGAATAGTCCTCCTTTACAAATTTTCATCCACCCAAAAATGGGCGGAAGAAAGGAGGGAAGACAAGTGGACTATTATAGAAGTTTTAAATTAAATTTTATCCTAAATTATACAAGTTTTAAATTACAGTATTATCCTCTATAAATTACAATATTATAAATATTATTGGATATAATGATAAAAACAATTAAAACTTTATATTTCCTTCACCCTTAACCAACATAGTAAATTATGACCTTATTCTATTCTCTTCTATACAACCGAACAAAAAGAAGGAAATACACAATCTCTTCCTTAGGGATGTTTCATTCATCATTTATTCTCTCCCTGCCATCTAATTTTTTTCTTTCCTACCGAACGGAGCATTAATGACCAAGAAAACACGATTCCTTAATGACTAAGGAAACACAAAATATCTAAGACGCCTTGATCACCAAGAAAACATAAAATATTTCAATCAAATACATAAAACATATCTCTGTAAGAACATTGAATGCAGCCTTTATCTACAAAGACAGAATCCAGCTTGCATTCAGCCATATCTTGGATGCAGCCTTTGTAGAACATTGAATCCAGCCTTCTCATGAGCTGGATACAACCTGTAGGATAGTCACCTATAGGTTTGCAGGCCTATCTATGCTCTGCATCATTGAGGCTTAGAGAGGTTCGACAGTGGGGACCCAAGTCCGAGATGCTTGGAGGGTTATGCCTTTGCCAACAGAAATTCTCTGACCTCTAAGAGCTATTTCCAAATTGCAGAATCAGATGCTTTAGGCAACACGGCCCAAAAATAGGCAGTATATGAGACTGAGAGGGAATTGAACTCCAAAAATCATCAAGGAGCCCCCATTCTCATCCCTCGTTTTACCACCTGATGGGGTTGATGCACAAGTGACGGGGTAAGACAAGTTAGAATTCGAATAATAAGTTCTCACTTTCATTGAGATTAGGTTTGTGATCAATGTACTAATTACAATATTTTCACTAAAACATAACTTTTGCTTGCTATTTCTACCATTCTATCAGTCCGGGTGATGTTCAAGTTGTTAATTTACTGTTTTGTAAGGCCGGCATTGCTTGTTCCTTATCTAGACCTTAATTGCTAGATATAGAAAAAGATTTGTTCTCTTTATTAAAGTGGTAATCTTGAATATGACGGAGTTTGGTGGTGTATTTGGCTAGAGACGAATAGGAGATCTTTCGAAGGAAAGGAGAATCCTATTTTTATGCTTAAGTTCTCTATTATCTACACTCTTTTTTGTTGGGTTGTAGGTAGAAATTATAGACCTTTAGAGGGGATTGTTGATTTTTAGGACTCTTTGAAAGTTTGGAGGCCCTATTTGGCCTTGTGTAGTTTTCTTGGGCTTCGATCCCCTTTTAAGCGCTTTTATACAATTTTACTTATCGAAAAAAAAAAGAAAAAACACTAGCGCCATAACACTTCCTCTTCACACTCGAACCACAAAAAAAATAATAACAATAATAAAAATAAAATAAAAAATTATTGGCTTAGTGCCACTCTCAACATGTATAAATTTTAGCATCCTCAAATTGTATGCCTGAACCCATAGTCCAATTGGTGTTGATTTAATCGGTGTTGGTGTTATAGGCGCACCCCAGATTGATCCGTGTTGGCGTTGTAAAGGACTCGCTTTGCTTCTCTTTCACGGTTAACATCCCCTTCGTGCTGACACCATACACCATATATACATCAAATCTTACAATATATATATATATATATATATATATATATATATATATATATATATTACTTATCAAAATATATGTGTGTATATATATATATATATTATAATTATATGAATTTGGGGATTTTGGGAAATTAGGTTTAGGTGTGTTTGGATGTAACTCTCAGTTAAGAGGTGTTTGGTTGTAATGGTAACAATAAAAGGCATTAGAGTCTTTTCATACTTATAAGGGCATTATGGCAATTGAATTATATTTTGTGTGTCACGTGATAGCCACGTGGTCGTTTCATGGTAAGTTTCGAATGGAAGCTCGCCAGACTGGGCAATGCAACCAAAGTGGTTAGTTCAGGGGTTTTCTGCCTCATTTGTAGTTTAGGGACCTTATTTGCTAAAAAGGTCATAGTTCAAGGTTTTTTTTTGAACTTTACCCTAAATAAAATGATGGTGATCCCAATTTGATCAATGCGAGTATTTGGGTTGGATAAGATTGCCTTTTACTATGTTTTCCATACAGCATAACAGTTATTTTATTATTATTATTTTTTATTTTTCATATTGTTGTCGAAGACTTTTGGTTTACCTTAAATTTGGTTTGGGCCTGAATTTGGATATTCTATAGGAGATCAAATTCAAAAGAAAATTACATCATTTATCAAACTTGGCTGACTGAATATTTGTATTGTTTGCAGCAAATGATGGTGAGGAACACTTGCGACAGGCGGCGATGGTTTACGAGTCGTACTACTGATGCAGTTAGTAATACAACTGACGTTGAGAGTAATGTTTTTTCTTCTAATGCAGCTGGTGATGCAAACAACGTTGAGGATCCACGTAAGTGTTTGTAATGGATGTGTCATGTTTCATTACTTTTCATCTAATGATAATTTTAGTACAAGTTATGTGATCCAAAAGCTCAATTTATAGCTTATGAGCTTAGAGCCTGTTGCTGCTATATATTTTCATTGTTTTAACCTGTACTTCTGTGACCTTTTCAATTATCCTCATAATATGTTGCAGTTTTTTTTTTTTTTCATTTGTAAAAATTCAATTTGAATTTGGGTGGGAGCTTCCTACAGATTGATACCCTATAGTTACAATAGATATGGGGAAAGCTAACATCACCTTTTTCATGGGCGGGATAAGCTTGCCCCTATTATTTTTGGACAAAAATATCTTCATTGTATACCACCACATTATTAAAAGTATGGATATTTAAGTAATTTAGAAACCTATTATCCTTATCTTCTCTTTTTCACTATCTCTCAAAATCTTTTGTCCGTGCCCTAGCCTCTCTCCTCTGAACCAGAAGCGATGGCACAACCATCAAAACAGCCGTGGTGGTGCTACTCCCACTATTCCCATAACTGCCACCACCATCCCCACCCAGCAAGGCCGGTCCTGGGGCAAGGTGACCAATTTGGAAGAGCCTCAAATTTAGTACCATAATGTAGTTTAGTAGTATATGTGTGAAATATCACTACTTCTCATAATTGCACGTAACTAGTCTTTTAATCAATTTAAAGACATCTATTCAAGCCATAATTTCCATTATTAAAAGACAACATACTTAAAAAAAAAAAAAAAAAAAAAAAAAAAAAAAAAAAAAAAAAAAAATTCCATAATTGAAAAACAACACACAATCATATATCATGTAAATTTATGGCAATAAATAACTTTCAAAAACAAATTCTGATATGTAATACAATAATTTATATGATAAAAATAATTTGTTTCAATCCCTTTCCTTCAAGAGAATAAAGGATTTTTTATATTTAAACAAGAAACTGATTTATATTATTATTATATTAGTTTTGGGCTCACGTGCATGCATGATAGTTAAACCCAGTTCAAACAACCAAATTTTTAACTCATCGATGCAATCAACTGTCAAATTTTTAACTCAACCCTATTCAAACAACAAAATTATGACAGAGTACTTTAATTTATAATTTTGCATCTCAAAATGTAAGACGGTCACATTTACTTTGTTTTGAAGTTGAATTTTGATTTTTGTGACTAAGTTGTGTTGAATATTTTTAAATTTTTTAATGTAAATTGGATGGTTCTCTTTATAAAGCACCCAGACCGATTTTTGTTGTGTGTTTTTAACCTTAATATATTTCATGTGCTTGTCATCTGATGTTAATGTAAATTTGCAATCATGTAATTTTTTTGCTTGTATGTATGAAACTTTATGTATAAAGGGCCTCACATTTGAAAATTCGCCTAGGGTCTCTCAAAATTTTTGGAATCTCAGGGCTGGCCCTGCCACCCAACAACCACCAACACAATAACAACGGCACCACCACCATTTCCACCCCCATAACCACCACCACATCACTGGAATCATGCCCTCTCGCGATGTTCTCTAGCAGAGCAGAGGCACCAAACCAATCGACAACAGCGATGTCGGAGAGGCAGTCTTGCTGGAGGGCGGGGAGTCTGAATAATGAATCGTTGTTTTCCAGTGAGTGCTGCAATGGCGACAACGGTTATTTAACAGATCTTTATTGACATTACTATTCCTAATACTAGATTGATTTGCAACATAATAAGAAGTTGGCATCACGTTCAGCAAATACAAGCCATTGTCCTCACATGTACTTCCAATCGTCTTCCGCGTATCCAAGTCTTGAAACACGCAGTGAGATGGAAAATAGGTTATAGTACAATTCAAGTCTTTTGTAATATGACTGACGAAGGAGGTTATAGGTAAATTTTGGGACATGAAGAACAGAGGATAAAGTAAGATTAGGAAAGGCAAAAACAGTGCCCTTCCCCGCAATGGAGGTGCCATCAGCCACTCTAACCTTATCCTTACCAGAACATAAACTGTACAAAGAAAAATCAGATGTTATACCAGTCATGTGATCAGTGGCTCCTGAATCAATGATCCAGGTGGCCAATAGATAATATGGAAACCTGATATGCCGAATAAGAGTTACATGTTTGAACGAAGTTAGAGGTGGAAATGGAGGCATTTTGAGCTAGTAAATATCAAAGAGCATCTAGTTCAGCCCCGGACTAAGAACTCGGTGGGCCTAAGGAGGCATTTTTTTTTTTCTTAGTTAGTTATCACACATACGTGCCTCCACTAAGGTTTGAATCCCTGACCTCCCTTTGAGAAGTAGGAGCCTAATACCGCTAGGCCACTAACCCATTGGTGCCCTGAGGAGACATGACCAGTAGAAGTATTCTCTACAGTATGTGTCATTGATAACCCCCTAAATGGACCAGGCCTTGGCCTAGCATTTGCATGTGCAGGAGCTGGAGTAGGGCGACTGTGTAGATTCCAGCATGTTTCCTTAGTGGCGCGTACACCCATAGTGATCACACCTCAACTTGCTCTTGTCATCCTACTTCCCTCCTTTTGGAGGATTGGGCTTGTTCCATTGTTATGTGGCAAGAGCAGAACTCTTGGACAATGGTACTTCTAACTCAGGCTTAGTGTGTACAGGTGCAGAAATAGCAATCATTCTACTCTCTTCAGCCTGGATATACGAAAACACTTCTCTAACAGAAGTAGAGGTTGGATACCTACCAACACTTGTACCTTGGCATGCTCGTATCTCGAATTCAAACTACCCAAGAACTCATAGATTTGATTCCTTTCTACAATAGCACTAAATGTTTTAACATCAGCTGCACACACAGGTATATAGTCTTGCTAGTGATCTAACTCTTGGGTTTTAACTACGCGCCTAGAGCTTTACAAACCATGCTCTGATACCATGTTGACTTTAAGAGATAATCAAATCAAAGAGTAAAGTACAAGAAGAAGAAAAAAAAAAAAGAAAGAGGATAAGGGAAAAAGAGGGAGAGATGGGGAAAGAGAAAAATACTTTCATTCTTCCACCACATTATATTTATAATAATAAGTTTCAAAAATTACACACGAGCCCCAACATTATATAAGTAATACAAATAGGCCCTTGACAATGTAACAATAGTGATGCGTTTTGCGCTACACTGCCAAGAAATACATTTTTAATGTTTCTTCTTTCCTTCACAAAAATGGAATCTACTTTCTATTATAGAAAAAAATATTTTTTTAAACACGATTTTTTTGTTTTGTTTTGTTTTGCCATTTTAAGTGCTGGCAAAATAAAAAAAGAAATGTTTCTCGTTAGTGACGTAGAGCGCAGGGGCGTGCCCCAAGTGCGCGCTTGCAAGGGACCACACACAAGCGCTTGCGCAGATGAAGGGAACATGCACCACCATGCGCACATTGGCACACCCCAAACGCGCGCTCATGCATGGGGCATGCCCCAGTGCTCACACATGGAAGGGGTTTCGCCTCAAGCGCATGCACGCAAAGAGTTACCCCCCAGTGCACGCGTGCAAGGGGCCACACACCAGCGCACGCACAGATGAAGGGAATATGCACCACGACACACGCATGCGCACATTGGCACGCCCCAAGCGTGCGCTCATGCACAAGGCACGCCCAGTGCTCATACATGGAAGGGACCTCACCCCAAGCGCATGCACGCATGGGGTCACCCCCTAGTACGCGCAGCATATGCTCGACCGGTACCATGGACTTAAAATATACAAGTTGCATCGCTGACATATATTCATTACTGTATTTTTGCCTTTAATTGTGATTTTATATTTTGCCTCCTTAGGAACCCTTCATTCTAAGGTGTTTTTTTGCCAATTCTATCAAGGAAATGGACTCTTCAGAGTTCAAAAGTTTAGTCGTAAGTTCAATATCTTTATAATTTTTCATTTTTATATAATTCAGATTAGTCTTTTAACTAATGTATTGTTTGATCATTCAACAACAGGCTTTTTATAGATACCAAGATCATTTTTTTGAATAAAAGCACAACATAATATTAGAATATTATGGGTTGTACAAAATGGAATACACGGATTTGCATGCGGATGGGGGTTCCAAGTTGATGAGATATCTTTCGGTAGAAGACTTCATGTGGTTCTTCCTCATGATTCATGAAAAGTACTGAAAAAGGATTTATAATTACATGTTCAAGCAGCAAATTTATGTTTTGGATAATTATCGGGGGACATTAGACGCAATCGTCTATTTTTGGAAAGCGCCACCTAGTGGGTGGTACAAGTTAAACGTCGCTGGGTTTTGTAAGATAGATCTTGGAGGGACCAAAGAAGCTGGTTGTGGAGCAGTATTGAGAGATTCTAGGGGAAGGATTTTGGAAATTTTCCATAAGCCATTTCCTGATACAACATATGGAGATGAAGTATTGAGAGATTCTAGGGGTAGGATTTTGGAAACGACATTTATCGATGAAGTATTAGGATATTCTAGGGCTGGGAATTTGGAAATTTTCCATAAGCCATTTCCTGATACAGAATCCAGAGATGAACTATTTTTACTTGGAGTCTATCATGGGATATATGAAACTCTCTGAAGGAGATCGAAAGTTAAGAGAATAATATTGGAGATTGACCATAAAAAAAATTTCAAGTTGACGAGGCCGCTTTGAATACGTCAAAATAATGTAGTGAATATGTGGTTCAAGAAAAACCTTTTATGTCAAATTCAATTTTATAAAAACCACTACCAACACTACTACTAACGTAACAAGAGTAAGTAGGGATCGTCCCAAGGGATTATTCGTGTTGTAATTTAACTTTAACTGTAGCGTATCATAAGATTGCAAAAGAAAGAGATTAATTGTTTGAATTAATTAAAATGCAACTAAAATAAAACTAAGTAGAGATAGGAATTTAAAATATATGAAAAGAGAACTTAGGGTGTTGGAAACACCACTAAGCTCATGTAATTAACCATTTGCTTTCCATTAATGGGGAATACATTGTTGTGAACAAAATGCGACTACCAATTGCAATATTAAGCATG